ATCAATTATCCTAAGTAAATCAAATAAGTTTTGTTGCCGATGAGGTTTACAATTATAAATGTGATCTTTAAAATTTAGTTATTTACACAAATCCTTTTATTTAATTCAAGACAAATGAGGATGACGTGGCACTTCGGGTTCACGGAACTCGGGGCGTTACACCACGTCGGCCATGGCAGTATAAATAGACCCGCTTTGTTTAGAAGGGGTTGGAAAAATTGGAGTTAGAATTATTATCTTCTCGTGACTTGAACTCTCAAATAGGGAATCATGAAGAAACATAGCACATTTTTCTTACAAATGATTGTATTTCCATTTTACATTGGACACTTAGTGAAAAAATTTTATAAGTCAATGGTTTTATAATCCACAATATTCTTCTGTTTTCTATCTTTTCACATATAATGGTAAGACCTTTGGTTAGTAGTTTTGTTCTCATTTGGTAATCATTGTTAGAGTGATCATCTTCATTTCACCCACTGGAGCTCGAACATTTTTATCTCATGCCGTGAAGAACTTCTCGCGTTCAAATCCGCCTCTATTCTCATCGTTTCTCCTGTAGAAATGCGCCAGAATTGGTTCGTTGTGGTAAGAGTGGGCTCGGCATTTGTTGGCTCATTTTTTGGGGTCAACAGATTGGCGCCGTCTGTGGGAAGCCATACATTTCACCACGACTATCCCGTGGGAAGAAGCCAGTAAGAACCTTGAAAAAAAATTCTCAAACCTTGAAAAAATGAGCATTTTTGAAGAAAGAAACGTTGGGAAGCCTAAGGAATGACCGTGTGAATCTTATACTCATTTGATCCTTGAAGAAAGGAACATTTGGTCAAGAGAAGTGTTCATCGATATGAGTTCAAAAGTGAAGGAAACGTACCTCGGAGGGCGATGGAATACCCTGAAGAAGGGGAACCCTCACAGGCTGTCCCAACTACTCGCCCAAGGATTCACCAGCAACATAGACATTGGGTCAAGGGGTGGGGGCAGGATAGAAGCTATACTCACTAGAGAAGTTGCCACAATGGCTGCTAACATGAGAAATGTAACTCAGCAGAACATGGCTATGCATGAGCTGCGAATGAACATGCAGGGGTGAGGAGGATACCTAGTCTTACATATGCAGCCCCTGGAAATGCATTTTAAGATCCACCACAGTACTACCAAAAAGAGGAGGAAGTTCAAAGCCAAATGGCAAGGCACTCCACAACATAATGGAAGCCTCCTAAGAGATGGAGGTTGGGGTTGACACCTTAACTAACTATGCTTCAGAACGACCTCGTAAGGACCCATTTAATTTCCCTCGAAATTATGAGCTAGAAGACCTGCCTCAGAGGTTAGCCACTGTCTTTGATAGGTTGAGCCCAGGGTTATCTACAAATAGGTAGACTCACCTCCCTCCTATATCTAGAAATAGGCAATAGAAGCCTCTTTGATTAGGCAATAAGAACCGGTTAGCCATGAGGAACCTCGAATTTCTCCCCCTAAAAATGGGCGTAAGATGAGGAAGCTGGCCAAAAGTGAAGCTGAATCTTCCCATTCACTCCCGCAAGCTCAACACATGGATGATGAGGGCACTGATGAGCCCCAAAGGTCCTATGACCTCGATGATGACGATGAACACTCACCATTTTCTCAAGCTATTAGGAATGCCCCTATGCTAAACTACTCCACTATCCCTAAAATTCCAAAATACGATGGGAAAGGTGACCCTGCGAAGTATCTCAGCAGCTTCAAAACCCACAGAATCTGAAAGAGGCCACTCTAGCCATAAAGTGTAGAGCCACTTGACCTTATGTAGGGCGATCGAAATTTGGTACACCAGGTTGTCGGAAGGAAGCATCCAGAGTTTGCCGAACTTTAAAAGGATGTTCCTAACACATTTTGCTACCAGTAAGGAAGGTGAAAGACCAATTCAATACCTACAAGATATACGACAATAGTAGGGTGAGTCTCTGAAAAGTTTTTTGTCCCACTTCAGTGATGAGATGACCTACTACGTAAAAGTAATAGATAGGGAGGCTTTAACGGGAGGTTTGGACATGAAATTTCTCTTTTGGAGAGACGTGCAAAACAAGGACCCTACCACGTATGATGGCCTACTGGAAATGATAAGGCGCGAAATCCTCAATGAAGAATTGAGGGATCATAGGAACATGGCCAGTCAAGGACTCCCCCATCCACAAATGCAAAGAGGAAAATTCCCTACCTCCCATTAAATGGATCACTAGACCCTTTTCAATGATGGACAAGCACTAGCTGCCGTGACACTCGATGCCGTACCCACTTTAGCTTATGAGGAAGTGAACCATGGTGCAGAAATGCATCGAGGCCAACCTTATCCGAGGTACCCTTAAAGAGGAAGTGGGAGAAGACGAGGTGTCGAAACTAGAAATAGGAATGAGTGCCTATTTATTGTACCTATCATTAGTCCTATAATCACCGTACGAAGGACTGCTGGGACATTGTGAGGCGTTCTCAAAGAGACGCTCTTCCTAGGCAAACCCAATGGCCTGGGAATGTTGAGCCGAGGACCCCAACCGGAGTGATCCCCCAAGGAGAAGGGACAGCGATGCTGAAAGGCCTAGATTTGTACAAAGGCAAAGGTGAAGGCCCCTACAACTAATGGCCAGAAGCCCATCAGGGAAGTTGATACGATCTTTGGAAGTCCCTATGTTGGAGGAGAGTCTAGGAATTTACAAAGAAATTATACCAGAGAGACAAAATATCCTCATATGACAAGTTTCTTACTTAACCGAACCCCTATCGAAAGTGTAATCCCATCGATTACATTTACTCAAGAATATGCACTAAATGTGTATTACCCACACTATGACGCCTTAGTAGTGAGAGTCATCATGGCCCGTAATGGCCTGGAGAGAATGTTAGTAGATAATGGAAGCTCGATCAATATCATTTTTGGAACTACCTTTGACAAGATGAAAGTTGACCCCAATGAGTTTCCCTTGTCTAGTTTCACGGAGATAGTATCATCCTAAGGGGGAAGATCTCTGTAGCAATAGAGATGGGAAAAGCACCTACGACTACTCACCACTTCATAGAACTTTTGGTAGTTGATAACTGCTCTACTTACCACGAAGTGTTAGGAAGACCAACCTTGAAAGAACTTTGGGGTACCACCTCTATTCATCATTTTTGCATGAAGTTTCCAACGGAGAACGGAATTGCAATGGTCCGAGGTGATCAAAGAAGTGCAAGGGAATGTTACTCAAAATCCATACAGAATTTGAGTCAAGGAGCTTCAATATGGTCACTACAGATATTCATATGGATGATGTTCTTGAACAAGGGAAAACCCCTAAACAAGAGGAAGACGTTGAAATGGAGGACACAGCTAAAGAAGGGGTCACCTATAGATTATGCACACATTTGAAGAAGAGGCTACATATAAGCAACCTACCATCCTTGAAGAAAGAAGGGAAAGCTGCTGAGAAAGTGGTTAGGTTGGAGGAACTAGATCCTCGCATCATTGATTGCGAGCCTCAAGTAGCACTTGTGGAATAACTGGAGAACATTTTGACAAACCCACAAGATTCATCCAAGCAATTGCAGTTTGAAAAAATCTGCCCATGAAAGCTGAGGAGGAGTTGAAAAGTTTCATACTAAAAAATCTTAATGTCTTTGCTTGGGAACATGAAGACATGGTCGGCATAGACCCTAAGATCAGTTACCATCACTTGAATATTAACCCAAAAGTCACCATGCACAGGCAAAAAAAAAAAAGGGCTCTTAACGCACAGGTAAAGTCTAAGTTGTTGTAAAAATAGTTTGAGGTTGACATAGTCCAAAAAGAAGTAAAATAAATTCAAAAAGAAGATCACATTCAAACTTGAAAGAAGTTAATTTGGGAATGACGCTTTTATGGTGGCCTACCGCCTAGCAGGTGCTAGAGTAGAAAAAACAGTGAGCAAGTCGCCCACCTACTGTTCTAGTGGCGGTGTGACGATAAACCCTGTTTGGTTTAAACACTTATTTTCTTAGCCCTTTTTCATCCCAAACACCATTTCCTATATATAG